AAATAGTGATGATGGCTAGAGCTCCAGCAGCCTTCTTAAAATCATAGGACAACTCTGAGGAAGGAAGCCAGGCTAAGATAGCAGAGCGAGAACATGAATGAACGGGCTGCCTGTTGCCCCTTGCCCTGGATAGTTTGTTGTCTTTTTCTGTCTGCAAGTAAGCCTGTCACTTGTTGGAACCACCGTCATTTTGTAAAGTTTTTCTTTATTTCCAGCTGAATATGGCTGCATCCTTCTTCTATTCTATAAATAATTTGTCCAGTGAGAATAGCTAAAATGATACACTCTTGCCCTCATTAAAAATTCCAATTTTTTAAGTATGATAAATTTTTGAAAGGGCAGGGTAGAGGGAAGGGCTAGAAATCATAGCAGAAGCCCTCGCTTGTTGGTGGATCAACTCTGAAAGCAAAAGATAAGCAGGAAAATTGCAATGGATGAGATCCACCATCACCATTAGCTTTTCCAGTTATATGCAATAAAACCCATTTTGTTAAATCAGAAGAATGTGAGATCCACCATCACCATTAGCTTTTCCAGTTATACAAGATGCAATAAAACCCATTTTGTTAAATCAGAAGAATACTCTGAGACCAGCCCAGCCTCTCACTCGCTCCCCCATCCTGGGCACCCAGCTTCCTTCTGATGTGTATTAACTTCCCCTTCCCTGAGCAATGTGGTCTAACCGGAACCCTCCTGCACCTGTGGGGAGCCCGCCCACCCCACAGCCCTGGGCCAAGCACACCACTGCCTGCCCACGGACAACTTTGTGGGCAGAGAGTCCTCTGGATTGTCGCACAGGAAAAAACTCCCCACAAGTGAGCACCAGTCACAACTGACCGATACAGCACAGCCAATATTCAGCACTCCAAGCCTAAACTCTCTGAAAGGAGACATAGAGCACTGGACGCCTTCCTTTGCCAGGGCGACACCAGGGAGGGCAAGCTGAGAGAACGAGTGTGACATTTTGGCTCCGAGGCACTGCATAAGCTTGAATTACCTTCGGAACTGGCAAGGAAAGGCCATGTTATATGCACCCTGGTTTTAGTTTTAAGTGTATCTTACTTAATATTTTCAATATGAGTCAGCTTCAGGTACTGTGATGATTTTCAAATAACTAGAAGTTGACTATAGCTGGCTTTAGACAGGAAGCATGAGTACAGAATCCAGCTGCTCTACCCTAAGAGCAAATCTGAGGCCGATGGTCCTGGATTCTCTCAATCTGACGGATTATACAGAACCCTCCAGTCCCTGCTTTTCCCAACTCTCCTCTCCTGCTGGGGGCAAGGGGCTCCCCTACTAATGCATCTTAGAAGAATTCGCTCTGCCTGATACACTTACCTAGGAATCCTGGACCTCAAGTGAGTCAAGTTAACAGGCCATGCTTCCTCTCATCCAGGGTATGTGGGGGAGGAGAGTAAAGGTAATCACAGAAAGTTAGTGCCATGCTGGATGAGATGGGAGCTGTTCTTATTGTGAGGATGTTGCCGACAACGGTGACGATGGTGATGGTGGTAGTGATGATGGTGATGTTGGTGATGGTGTGATGGTGCTGATGGTGCCTGATGGTGGTGATGGTTGTGGTGACAGTGGTGGTGATATGATGGTGATATGATGATGGTGGTGATGGTAGTGATGGTAGTGATGGTGGTGCTCGTGGTGATATGATGATGGTGTTGATGATGGTGATGGTGATAAAAACAAAACAAAACAAAAACAAAACCCTGACGTTTAGAAAACAAAACAAAACAAAACAAAACAAAAAACCCTGACGTTTAAAATCCTAGGCTTTTCTAGACAGAACCAAGAAGCACTTCCAATTTACCTGTCTTGCGAAGATAGAACACGTCATAGAACTGAAGACACAGGAGCATGAGAGCCAATTCCTATGGATGCCGGAGGGTTTGGAGGGAGCAAGCACAGATACAAAGGTGTCTGTAATATTTCCGAGTCAGCGACTGTGTCCTTAACAGTTATTGAGCCTCCTGTAACTCAGTCACCACAGATCTTTATAAGAAGCCATGAGGTAAGTACTAGTACCACCCACATTCCACCAGGAGGAAGGTGGGACACCAGGAAGTTAAGTAACTTGTCCAACACAAGGGCAAGCTCAACACATGGCAGCTGATGTTGGGAACACCTGTAGGGTACCATGGGAACCTGTCAACAGGAAATAACGAAAGCTCAGATGGGGCGCTGGTGAGAGTGGAAAAGTAGGCTGGTCCGCAGGCTGAGCAAGGGCAGTTGACAGCAGGACTCAGGGCAACTTCCAAATGTCATCAAACTGCCAGCATTTTCTTTTTGCATAGGTGTCCTGATCAGCTTTTTTGCATAAGTATCTGATCAGCTTCTATCATAGAATGCTTCCCTCTTCCCTCACTGTTGCATCCACATTCAGAATCAGCAACTCTTGGTAGTTGGAAAAATGACAAAACAGCAGATCGGATTAATAAATGCTCTCTATTTTCAGACATGTCCACGGCCTTATTTTTGGCCTTTTTAAATGACTCTTTCTCCTGATTCCAAAAGTTCATCACAGGCTTCTTTCTCAAGGGTAAGAGGTGAGTCAATTCCCAGCCTCCATACAACCGCCCAAATGTTACACCAAAGACGACACTCAATGTCAAGGGTAAAATCGGCAACCTTGAGCCACTGTCCAGCTGTGCTTATCTGGGAGAATTTGAAGACACAAGACCTAGGGATCAGCACACACCCAACACCAGGAGTTCTCTGAAATGGGGACAAGAGGAAGTGCATGTGTGGGAAGCACCGAGGCACTCACTCAGGAAGCCAGTCAGCCTTTCACAGCCCTCCTCTCCACGAAGACCTTTCTCTGGGTGCTTTCGAGGACTCACTGAGAAAGAGGCTCGGCCACTCCCCATCTTGGAAACCCACAGAGTCCACCTTGCAGAGGCCCTAAGTTGCCACTGGCGAGCTGTCACTGGCATGGCTGCAACTCTCAACCTCGGCCAGCTGCTGGCCATGCTGGGATGGCAAGATCCCACTTGGAAAGTCACAATGCTAACTCAGGGGCCACAGCCCACAGCCTTCAGACTGAGCCCAAATAGAAGCTGGTAGAGCTGACATTGCTGGAGCCTCTTGGGTTCAGACCCTGGAAAGCCCTTGGCAGATGCCAGCTTTCAGTAGTCCCTGCAGCCCCCCAAGGCCAGCAGGGCCACAATCTGGGAGCCTGAGCCTCCCAGAGGCTGAGCAGCAGGATCTGCAATCTGGCCACCAGCCATCGGAGCATAGAAATCCGGTCCTGGGTGGGCTCACCTGGACTCGACAGGGTGCGTTCGAACAGGACACCACATGGCCCCTAAGTTGCATGCCTGCAACCCCAGGTATTTTCTTTTTAATTTCCTTAACGTCATTCTCACTTTATAGAAAGAAAGAGTAAGTTTTTGGAGGGACATTCTTCCTCAAAAACCTGCTCTTTGATTTCCAACCAGCCATCTCCCACCATCTCCCACTCTTCATGCATGCACAGAATGCCAGCTTGAAGCTCAAGCCAAGAGTGCCTCTCCCACTCAGGCCCTCAGTGGGTGTGACAGCCCAGGACACCAGGTGCAGCTTTGGCCCCGAACCACAGCAGCCTGACATCAACTCTGCATTTTTTATTTAACAAACTGTATATTCAACCAGTTCTGTCAAGGCGCAACCTAAAAATTATTACTATCAGCCAAAGGAGCTAGTCCTGGCACAGGAATCCCTTTGCAAAACACACGGAGGAACTGGTATCCAAGCTAGGAAGGGGTCACCCAAACAGGGGAAGCATCCAAAGTTGATTTTAACCAAAGACCAAACGGTCAAATCCTCCTAGAGGGGCGACCAGCCAGTGTGCTGTGATGGGGGTGACCGAACGTTTTCTTGGCTGCCCCAATTTTAGAAATTGGGTGCTGAGTCATTATTAGCCCAGGAAGCCCACGCACTCAAATGATAGGACTGAGAAAGCTCCGTCATACTCTGCCTACTAATGTGCAGCTTTTTAAGCAAATCCGAAAAATGTTTATCATAAGGTCTTTATGACATTTTAACCGTTTCATTTACAGTAAGTAGAATGACATTTAAAAATATGTATTTCCTGTATTTTACTTGACACTCAAGCTGAGGCTGATCAGAATAGTAACAGCTTGAGAAACACTTATCAAGCTCAGCTCAGGCCTCCTCAACTCAATTGCCCCATTCTCAGCCCTGCCCCAGCTGCCAGCATTTTTTCTTTCTGATTCCACCAGTTCGTGACATTCTGTGTTAAGGAAAAAGAAAGACATACAATAAGTTCCTGGAATAATTCATGCATCTTTAGAGAGGGAAGCCAAAATTCTGCCTCTCTATTGTGTTTCTTGCGCTAAAACTGGGCAGCTCGCACCATGCGGCCAGAAATTGCTCTGGGGCTGTTTCCTGCAGCTCTGAGTGGCGGAAGACCAGCCCCAGCACCCCAGGTCAGCAACCCCACCTCTCAGCTTCACCGTGGCTCTATGCAGGAGTCTCCGACAGCTTCTTTTCCAGACAAGCATCACTGTCTCTTCCAAGGCGGCACACTGACAATTATCGACCCAGAAACTTCCCCAGACAATCAGGCAAAAATACAGCAGCTATGGGGGAGGGGACAGAGAGAGCCACTTCTCTAAAACAGCGGCTCCTCAAAGTCTGAACGAAACGCAGTGTCCACTCCAAACACGACAGCTTTGACACAGCAGAGACTCTGAGGCAAACTGCAGAAATGACCAGAAAAATGACAGAAACATACTCACCAGGGAGAAGCTGACGGCTCCACCTCTCCAAGAATGGTGCTTGTGATGGTCTGGAGACGCACACCGGCTCAGGCACAGCCTGCCTGAACTATATCAGTTTGAAACTTAAAAAGCAAGGACCATACAGTCACTTATTTCCCTCCATTCCCAATGATATCCACATGACTGAGACCAAAAAAAAAAAAAAAGAATTTAAAGAAAAAACGGCGCACACCTCAGTCTTCATTCTCATTGGAACGAGATGACTCATGCTGACTCACAGCCACCACTTCCTCTCCCGACATTCTCTTCATTCTTGTGAGCTGGGCTGGTCGGTTCCCAGGGTCTATGCAGCTCTTCCTGGAAGGGCAGCCTTCCTGCCCCTGGCAGAGAGACCCGCGACCTCACATGTCACCTCAGGGGAAAAGCTTTATTTGGGAGAATTGAGAACAACTGAAAAGTAACATGCACGAATCTCACATGCATTTGAATTTCAAACACACACTGAAATTTTGTAATGTATCACAGAGCTCGTGTAGGAAACTCTTGTTCTTTCCCAGACACTTCAGGGAAGGGAGAGGAATGGGGTAGTGTCTTACTCTTTATGGAGATTGTGTTTACTTTGCCCTGGTCATGCTTGTTTCAGTCCACGTTTTATTCTGCATTCCTTCCTCTGATATAGTAAATCTCGGGATCTAAATTCAAGATCTCTTCAAAGCTGCGTCAACCGATGGTTGCCAGTCCAACCCCAACAGGGATCCTCAGTTTGGGATGCAGTGAAGGAGGCAGCTTTATTCAGTGCTAACAACTAAATCATGATGCAGCACGGCCGTGAGAATAGCATGGCCATGAGAACAGCATGGCTATGGAGCAGCTCAATAGCATTATAGCTCAATTAGGAAGCAGCACAGCCATAAGGCAGCCCTCAGGTAAGGTGGCTCTGTTACACACTGTTCCACCTGCTCTAGCTCTGGTTCACTAAGATGGTTTGATGCCTGGACTGGTACTCCAACCAAGGAAACACAGCCTGCAGTCCCCACCGGAAAGAAAAAGTTGCTCTCTGAGCCAGAGGGGAGCTGACTTATATAGACAGAAGTCCTGCTCCTGGTCTCTGATTGGTCCATCCTCATGCAAATGAGGACTCCAAATCCTCGCAGTTTGATTGGCCCAAAAAACACTGTCCTGATTGGTCAGAATTAAGCCACTCTCATTGGTCCGTGAAGATGTTGATGGGATATAGCTGCGATAATGGACAGGGAAAGTCACAGCCCTAATGATTACAATAAGATTCCAGGAGCCCTGTCCTAAGGGCTGGCTCAGCCAGCAAGAACACAGTGTAGGCAAGCAGTTCAGAGGGGGCTTTTTCCTGAAGCATGGCTTGTGTGAGAGAGCCCTGTGTAGAAACAGCTGCTAGGCTCTGCTTTAAATTTGAGCCCAGTTAGCCACCAGGAGCCCTTCTTGGTGAGTATCTTCTTTCTCAGGGTCAACGGCTGTTTATTAAGAGGGTATATGCCCTGTTTTCAGGACTGACTTACAAAATATTTTCTATCCATCTTTTGGATTTCAAGTCTATGCCAGATTTGCATGTTAAAAGGTATAACAATTAAACTTTTAAACATTATTGATGATTATTTATGTGCAGAAATGGAGAGTAGTCCTGGCCTCCCAGTTTCCTTAGGAAGGTCCGAGGTTAGGCAGCCTCCCATCCCTTCCTGCATTTTTAAATTATGAGAAACAGCGGAGTGAGCAGCATCCATGGATGCTCGGCAGCCTCTGAGAAGCCAGGAAGGCAGCTGTGATGGCATTAGGCCAACCACAGTTTCTGGAGGGTGACACATGCAAGGCCATTGGTGGACACTGCTGACTGAGCGTCTGCTGCTGTATGGGCCATACTATGACACCCCTAAAGCGTACAGAGCAAATAAGGAAAGGACACTTTGGAGAGGGATGGAAGACCAGGCACGTGCACCTGCATGCAACAGCTCTCCCCGTGGAAGAATCAGCAGACCCAGTTTCCACTGGCAGCTGGTTTCATCTTAGGGAAAAGTAATTGTTCATTATCCTATATCTCAGTTCTCGTAAAAGGAAAATCAGGAAATTTGCTATGAGACACTACCAAGTGCTCTGAGTTCCCTGTGAAAATTGTACTGTGTCAATCAACTGACCAAATATTCTTATTTCTTGCAGTTTTGAGTTTGGGGTTTTTTTGTCTTTTTGGTTTTTTTTTTTTTTCCCCAGGAGAGTAGAAAACCTCTTGGTTTTCTGGAATTTAGGCATAGCTTTGTTGTGAAATTCATTGCCGTATGTTCTTTTTAGAAGAGAATAGGGAGTATTAAGTCAACTCATTAATCTCTGAGGTAACTGAAAAAATATTAATTTAAAAAACCACCAGGAATGAATTAGAGAAAGTCGAAATAGTTGGAAAATACCAGCTCCAAGTGTCAGCCACACCCTAATGCTGGAAATGCCCTGCCAGAAGCGTCATCACTTTATCAGTGGTTTCTTCCACAGCAGCCCAGTTACAACGAGTCTTCTGGAACATTCCAGGGCAAGGCCTTAGATACCAAGCTAGTCCTCCACCCAAAGCAGCAAGCTCAGCCACCATCATGGAAGGCCAGCAGAAACAGGTCCTCCCTACACAGTGTCACATTGGATAGTCCCATAGGTGCTGTGTCTGAGGTCGTGGCTGACCATCCACCCAGAGCTCTTCTCGTCTGGGCGGGCAGGTGGGAGAGGGCATCAGTGTGGGATGAGGGAGGCCGCTCCCAATATATTAATACCCCCAGGACTGTTAATATGGAATGTTCCAGAGTGAACTCTTTTCAAGCTGGCTCATTCCTTCATGTTCCACCAGAAAGGAAGCAATGATGACATTTTAAACATGAGAACACTCTGTAAACATCTGCAGGCTCTTTCGCCAATGAAAACAGCACCATAAAAAATGTAGGTTTCATTGAATTAGGAAAATAAACACGTTTTAGCCTAAAGACAGTGCATTCTAGCATGTCACAGCGTTCTCACAAATACTGAGGGTTCATATTTAAGAATATTTGACATGTGACAGTCAGCCTCCCACATGTGCACCTCGCATCCTCAAAATAGCCCTGTGAGGAAGGCAAGAATGTCATCCCCACTTTCCAGCAGAGACACCGAGGCACAGAGAGAGCCAGGAGCCTGCCCGAGGTTGCAGAGCCTGCATGTGTCCCCAGGTCACCTGATGTCAGAGCCCACGTCTCTAACCACCAGGCCACGTGAATTCTGTCAAAGGACTTTGAGAGAATTAAAAATCTCTGAACACACCCACCCCCCGCCTTACCTCATGGTGCCTTCTTCCAAGCTCTGCAGGCTTGTGTAAGGTGTAAGTACTGCTTATTTGTGTGAGAAGTGAACGAAAACTCTAGCCTTGAAGTGATCTGTTCCTTAAGACACTAACATTTCTCATTCATGGGAAGAGTCTATTAGAATTATCCTCTGGCACGTCCCCAAAAGTACCGAGAGGCTGCACATGACACCAGTGCCTCCACGGACAGTGCTCCTCCTGGGAACACGAGGGTGTCAGCAAGCATGCTTCATGGTCCACGTCAGGATTCCACAGGCTGGCTGATAAAGAGAGCTGGACGGAGGGACAGGGGCAAGATAGAACGCACCCCCCAGGGGACTTGGGACAGAGAAGCGTCAGCACTCACCCAGAGCAGTTCAGGGACTCTGAGAGCAAGGGGACACCTGCAGCTGACATGATGGGAGGTCAGAGTTTAAGTGGCAGTGGTTTTTCTTCCTTGGTGGACTGTGAACTCAGTGGTACACATACATCTTAAGTTAGATGGAATAGAGTCTGTGAAGGTACGAGACTAAGTGGCTTCACCAGAGCTGTGTGTGTAGGAAGAGGAAGCAAGTTCTGAGCCAGGGCCCTGCAGCTGCAGGGGGTCAAGGGCTGAGGAGGAGCCAGCAGGAAGGGATGGGGGGATGTGAGGTGCAGGGCCAGTGAGGTGGGAAGAGGGAGAGGGTGGCTGCTGGAGGTAAATGAAGAAGGTGCTTTCAGAGCAGATGGTGATCACCTCTGCTATCACCTGAGGAGTCACCTGAGGGGGAAGCGGATTTGGTGGGAGGTGGGGCTTCTTGGGGAGGGGCAGGGAAGTCTGGAAGGAGTCAAGAGAGAAATGGAAAGAAAGACAATGGTGAGAAGAAACAGCACTTCCTACAAAAGGGCATCTCCGGACAGGGTAGCGGGGTCCAGGGAAATTTCTAATTTTTTTAAGATGAGGGAAAGAAGAGCTCATCTGTACACTTATTGGTCAAAATGACAGCGGAAAGGGAGGAGCTGATGATGCAGAGAGGACTAGACCTGCTACCAAGGGTCCGGCCTGGCCTGGGGGACGCAGAATCCACAGCCAGCAGGATGTTGGGTGGGGAGGGCCCAGTGCATGCATGTTCTGTGCTCCCCTAACAAAAGGAGAGTGAGGTCAACTAAAAATTTAATGACACGTAGTACATGGATATTGTTTTCGTATGAAAACCCTTAACACATCACAGCTGAAGCCAAATCCCTTTGATGGGGAGGTGGCACTGTCCACCCAGGTAACAGGGACCCACTGGAAGGATGTTGGAGGCAGAGTTCGGGGGAGTGGAGAAGAAGCCTGGGCTAGTAAGGGAGGCGGAGAAACCCTAGAGACATGTCGAGGTGGCACAGGTTGGAGGGCCAATCAAGCTCGGTCCCCAAGGGAAGGTCAGTGTGAGCACATCAGTGAGATGGCGTGTGCCTGCTTCCCTCCCTCCAGGGCTGGACTCCCCAGGCTGAACTGGCCTGTGGGGGTGAGCACGCTCTGTACCGAGCTGGGGAGACCAGTGCCAGGGCAGCTCTGCTGGGACAGGCCCTGGAGTGCAAAGTCCCACTCTGCTCCAAACGCCCCAAGCACACACACACACACACACACACACACGCACACGCACACTCACACACACATGCTCACACACACATACACGCACATGCCATGCTCATGCACCCATGCACATGCACACAATCATGCACCTGAGATCTGTTGAGTCGCTGTGTGCATCCATACCTATTCCTTTGTATTTCTCGTGCTGTTCCAGCATATGGACCTATCACAGGTGTTTCTCCATTCACCTGTTGAGAGACATACTTGACAGATACAGCTGCTATGGTCATTTGGGCGCAAGCTTCTGCACGGACACTAGTGGTCATTTCTCTGTGGTGGACATGGGGCGGCGGGGCTCTGCCTCTTAAAGGAACTCGCGAGGATCATTCTGCTTAAGTGAGCCGCACGCTGTGTCCTGGTCCTCCTGCCGCCCTTGACTACTGTCTCTCTCCTCCTCTTGACCTCTTTTCTGTGGCTATTGGCCAAGATTCGTCTCCTGACTCCCCCTTGCTCTGTCATTTAGAGACAGACTCTGCATCCCAGCCCACAATGCTGTTCTCCTGGACCGTCACCAGTGGCGGTCAGCGTCCAGCCCTCTGGGCCCCCACAGGCACAAATCAGCTCTCTCTCAAGCCAGGACAAGTTGTTCTAGCACACTACCGCCTCCATATTCACCAACCCTCCGACAGTCCTTGTTCCTTGAGTTTTTCATATAGGAACTAGCTGGTCACCTGTTTGGATCCTTGGAGAGGCACTCATCTCTGCATTTGGAAGGGGTCTGATTGGATGAGTTATTCTCAGCTGTGGGTGTGCAAAGGCCTCTTTGGGTGCCCAATGAAATCTATAGGTGGCTCTCCAAATCAGTGTGCACAGCACACATTTTGTGCACAAGGACCATTTGTGCTAAGTCCAGACTCCTCCAGTGTCCAGATGTGTCAGGGTAGGAGTCTCTGGTAGGTGAGGTCAAGTGACCTGGCCATAGGAAAGGGGTTAGAGGGATGAGCCCTTTGAAAGTAGAGGCTTCTCCTTGGCTGCAAGTGGAAGCGGAAGTCGGAGACCCGGCACAAGGATCATGTGCTCAGAGCAGGGCCTGGACTCTGCCAACAACACAGACAAGCTTGGGGTGGATTTTCCCTCACAGCCTCCATAGGCAAGCCCAGCCCAGCTGACA